ACATTTCTCAACTTTATTTTTAATCGAGGAGATTATATAATCATAAAACTAGAATATATATATATATATATATATATATATTACTTACTTAATAAACGCAAAATTCAACTATGTTTATCTTTAAAACGCCTAAATCTAAAAACATAGGTAACTTTAACACTTTATTCAAAATAATTGTCCCATTTGAATAAATGATTCCAAGATCCTTTATTTGTGTAATATTAGACCGACTGAGGCCCTACCATCAAGCATTACATTTTTAAGGTAAGTAAACTCTTTACTAATTGCGACTTCTGCAACTCTTGGTTGAATAATTAACCATCTCATGTTTATTTATTGCCCTTTGCTTCAAAGTTCTAAACGCTTTACATAACCTTGTTGAGCACAACTAATTAAATGTGTAGAACGTGATCTACCCCAAATTACCTAAGATAACAAGTGACACCTTGCGGAGGCAGACCCATCACTCACGATCGAAGGGTTGTTGGGTATCTAATTGGAAAAACAATCTCAATATTTCTGGGACCTAGATTTATATGTTGTGATTAATTTAGTGAGCTCTAGTGCATCATCATCAACATCAATAAAAATTAGCATGCATAATCTACTGAATGCATAAACAAGACATAGTATGGCCCCTAATCCTAAGAAAACTAATAAAGTAAATGCTCCCACTTGAATCTTCATAGATCACCATCCCTGATTCACCTTGGGCCTTCACTTCATGGACTTCTTGGATTAACTGCAACATGTAATTTTACTCTAATCTATTTAATACTTAAATAAAATAGATAAAATTACAAAAATACTTAATCGGTACGCAGACCGTATTTAGATTACAAAAATACATCACGATGCGCGGATCGTATTTAGTAATCTACTGGGCCATATTAGTCATTATATAGAAACATAATATCATATATGTTATAAAATTGCCACATAATAAATATCATGTAAACATGCTTGCCTATACTACAACATCGAATGTTCATAATTAAGGAAACATGGTACCAAAATATCTCATATTTTAATCTGTAATTAGATAATATCATATATTATTCATGACCATTTATAAAATATCATATATTATATTTAGGCATGAGATAGAATCAAATCTTATTTTAATCTTAAAATATAAATCTTATTTATATTTAAAGATCATCCTAACAAGTTTAGGAGATTCTATCATAATTACTAGCCAATCACAAAATTTTAAATCAATTATCTCCTAAAATAATTATGGGATAATCACATTATTAAATCAATCTTTATCTTTTTGGAATCTTGCTCAAAATCCTTAAATTTTTCAAAGATTAAAACAAATATTAAAATTTGAAATTATCTTAGATAAAATCTGATTTTATCTAAAATTAAAATAAAATAAATAATTATAATAAAATAATTTTTTTTATTTTGAAAAAATTGGGGCTGCTGTGCAGCCAGCCATCTTGGTGTGGCCAGTCAAAGCCAGCCATGGTGGCTGGGCGCCTCGTGGCACCCACGCACAACACTGGCAGTAGTGGTGCAACGCTTGCTCACTACTGCTACTCCTGCAAACACCACCCGCCAGCACCCTGCCAGCCACCGAACCACCTAGCCCCTCCACCCTCCCTCTCGGACCTGCAGGGGGTAGCCATCATGGTACCGCCTAGGCGGGTTCTGCCACCCAACCGTGCCTGCTCCCACTCAAACCATTTTTTTTTAATTTTTTTATGAGTTTTAATCTAATTTAGCAACTTTTGTAAAATTAAATTAAATTAGGTCCTTTGAATTAAAACATAACATTTATGCCTAATTCAACTTTGAATCAAATTCATAGTTCAATTTCAATTAGGGTTCTTCATAAAATTAATTCAAATTTAATCTAACACTTAGATCAAATTATTGATTATATCATATTTATGTATCAAAGCAATCTAATTAAATTTATGAAGCATGAAACATTCGAAAATTATCAAAATTAAGTACAAAAATAAAAAATTTAGGGTTTATTTTAATAAAAAATTTTAAAAACTAGGGCTTACGATTTTGAAATTTTCAATCATGCTAGGTCTTGATTCAGATTTTACTAGGGATAATTGAGCAATTTAAATCGCATTTAAACAAATTCCAAACCTTAAATCTCCATTTAAAATAAAGATTGAACTATAATTAGAATTCTCCCTCTTAATTGAATTAAAATTGTGGACATCAAAGAATTATGATCAATATGCGTAAAAGCAAGAGGCTAACTGATACCACTATAGAGTTTTAGGTGCTATAAGCGGAATTTCACGAATCATATTCATTCGCATCTAAAAAGGATCTACAAGCATAACACATAAAGAATCACATAATTCATACCTTTGATACGTGATTTCCATGAGCGATCGACTAAGAACGATTAGGAGGATAAGAGCCCCAAGTGTTGCTCCTTTACTTGGTCCATTGGCTAGGATTGAACCTCCACTAATGCTAGTTAGTCGAGCACGAACACCTCAAGCCATCTTCTACGGAGAGGGGAGGAGAAAACCAATCCACGAACAACCATGACCATCCCCGTGCACCACACGCACCACCGGCATGTGCAGACGTGAAGGGAGAAGAGAGAGTAAGAGCGTGAGGCTTTAGGGTTTGGTTGCTTGCTAGTCAATTCTCAATTGACTGCTTAAGTGTTATCTGCAAACCCTAGGCAAGGCCTCTATTTATACATCACATGTATAATTAGAGTCCAAACCAAGCCCAAACTACTCCCTCTTTAATCCCATATGACCAGCTACTCCATGAGGCCCAATAATGGGCTTTTTTCTTTTGTTCAATCCATCACCCTTGTGTGTGACCTTATAGGATCCATTCTATTGGGCTTTGGACTATTTGACTAGCCCAAATATCATTTATCATATCTAGCAATACACAATGACGACCCAAAAGAATGAACTAATTATCTCCGTAATAATGATCCTTGATATATCTAGTAATTGCACTTAACGAAGACATAAATCCTTCACTTTATTCAACTTGTTTTGTCAAATTCATAATTAATTTTAATCACTGGATGAATTAATTATGTAGCAAGCCCTTAAATTTTGATTGTATCAAATTGACCTAAAATTATTAAAGAATGGTTCTTGGAAATAATTTTGGTTTATGCACTAAACTTTGATTAATTAAGTTAAACTTGGTATTAATTCAAAATTGCTCAATTGTTAATTCTAAAATTCAATTTCGAATTAATTAATGTCACACAAATATTTGGGATTAAAATTCCCAAAGAACACAAAATATCGAAGCTTGAAGCCTTGAGAAACTCACTCGACCAGTAGGGGCTGTTCGCGTAGCCCGCATTAAGGTGCTGCCGAGGAGTGCATGTGTGCGAGCAGGTGCAAAGGGGCATGCAATGCGGCAAGCAGTAGCTCGTAAGGATAGGGCTGCTAGGCAGCGCACAATGCGAGCACTAGCAAGCACATAAGCACACTGCCAGCGCAATAGCGTGCAAGCATGCGAAGCATGCTGCGAGGCTATTAGTGCTAGAAGGTGCCTCGGTGCGCTGCTAGCTGTGCATGCCATCACCCGCACGCAAGCCTTGCTGAGGTGCCTAGGAGCCTCTAGCCCTTGGCTTAGGAGCTAGACACTTGACTTGGTTGTGCGGTTTTGCGATTTTGATTAAAACGAGGCTAGGCCTCGGTTTTTCACGTATATGCATATTTTTGACAAAATGACTTGTTTTGCTTAATTAAAAATTAATTGGATTAATTTAATTAAGTTGGATGTGGAATTTAGTGGGAGCTTCATTAATCGATTTGGAGCTCGTTAAGCTTTAATTATGCTTATCCTTATTGCGTTAGTTCAGATAATTGGATAAACACTTGACTAGTTTTAAATAGTAACGTAAATCGGATTAACGACCTAAGTTAGTAACTAGTGCGCGCCTTTTGATACAAGTTTTGTATTATTGCTTGTATTGTTTGTAAAATTGCATGGGCCATTCACTTTAGAAGTGAATGGGTTAATGGAATATTATAAATGTTCTTATACAGGGTTTTACAAAAGTGACTAGTATGACCCAACTAGGATAGCAAATACGGATTGCGTTCTGTTGCGTATTTTTGTAAATCTAAATACGGACTGCGTGCCGTTAAGTATTATTGTACTTAGTTAATTTAGATTACTCTTATTATCTGGTTCTTGCATGCTTGATGGTGAAGTCAAGAAAGACAGTGTTTTCTTTAAAGTTGGAGTCTAAAGGTGCCAAGATGACCTTGAAGATTGAAGATTGGATGCTTCAAGATATCTTTCAAGGGTCATGCTAGTTCACTATGCATTTTATATATGTCGATTTATATTGCTTATATATTTTGATATTTAGATGCATGTTTAGGATTTTAATGTTGAATGATTAGTTAATTTCACTTAATCAAACCAACATAGAAACCCTAAGTCCTTATAAAATTGAGTTAAAAAATTGTCATTCCAAAATGACACTTACCGAAACTTTGAGAGTAGGTAATGGGCTATGCCAAAGCAACGCAATACCACTTTTCTAGAAAATTAAGGTATACTAGGTATACGCGTTAGTTTTGGATAAACTCAACAATATCGATAAGGAGTCCTTAGATATTGTGGTAAACTAGATAAGTGTCAAGAATGCATTGGATGCAATGACTTATCAAACCAAGAATAGTTTAGAACTATTAGCAATTGGATTGCTTATCTTAAAATAATAAGTGTTAAGAAAAGCCAAAGCATGCTTAATTACTTATTGATTTTTGGGATCTTGGAATCGTTTTATTCTCGCCTAAATGGGACAAACTCATAAATGTGTGAATAAAACGTAAATAAGATTGAATGCTGCAAGTATGCTTTAAATTTCAAACTTATTGGTTTATGAATGGTTATTCATTGCAAATTCTTTTCATTTGTAGTACAATGTTTGCAACTAACACCAACAACAACCAGTTCTTTCTCCACTCAATTCTCGACAAGGAGAAATTGAGTGGAACCAACTTTCTCGATTGGCAAAGGAATTTGAGGATTGTTCTTATTCAAGAACAAAAGGAGTATGTCTTTGATGAGGAAATGCCTGACACTCCAAATGAGGAGGTCACACAGGCTGCCCTAAACCGGTGGATTGTTTCCAACCGGGATGTCAAATGCATCATGTTAGCCACAATGTCTCCAGATCTTCAAAAGACATTGTTTGAGAAGGAGATGGCGTTTGAGATCATATCTGAACTTTAGAATATGTTTCAAGAGCAGGCTAGGACTGAAAGGTTCGAGACGAGCAAGCTCAAGAAAGGAGAGCCCGTCAACCCTCATGTGCTCAAAATGATTAGATTATTCGAGAACATGGAGAGGCTTGATGCGGGATACTCGAATGAGATGGCAATTGACATTATTCTCCACTCGCTGCATAAAAGTTATGATCAGTTCAAGATGAACTATAACATGCACAACATGGAGAAAACCCTCACGGAGCTTCACGGAATGTTGAAGCAGGCCGAGCAAACGCTCAAAGATGAGGGGAAGCATGACATGCTTATGGTAAAAAAGGGCAAGTCATTCAAGAGATTAGGCAAGAAGAAGGGCTATAAGGGGAAGGGTAAGAAGACCTTTCCACCTAAGCCAAAAGCTACCAAAGGCGACAAGCAAAAGAAGGTAACCTATTCTCCGTCCGACTCCAAATGCTTCTATTGCAAGAAGAAAGGGCATTGTAAATGGGACTGCCTCAAGCTCAAGGAGGATAAGAAGAACGACACCGTTGCTTCTAAATCAGGTTTGTACGTTATAGACCTTAACTTTGCTAGCAATGCTTCATGGGTATTAGATACCGGATGTAGCTCACACCTTTGTTCCAATTCTCAGGGACTAAGGAAAAGTAGAAAGCTAGCGAAGGGAGAAGTTGAACTTCGGGTAGGCAATGGAGCTATACTACAAAAAAATGAAGAATAGGCAACACATAAAATTGCAACACTTGAAAAATCGTTATCCATGATAGTCTATGGCAACAATTCATATTTGTTACTTTAAATAAAACAATTTATACTAGATTAAAAGGCAACATTTGTAAAAGTGTTATCGTAGACTTTGTAAAACAATGATTGCTTAAAGTGTTGCCATTTTATTATCTAAGACAACATTTATGAAAAATGTTGCTTAAAAAAAAACAACGAAAACAAGATTGTTGTCTAATATAGTAACACTAACATTTATGTTGCACTCTATGACAACAATTTACTAAAACAAGGCAACATAAAATTATGATGTTATCCACAATATGTGGGAGAATGCATGATTATGTGCATATAATTTATATTGGATGTTCATATAGGTAAGTTGTCTTAAAATGAATGAACATGTTTGTAAGCTGAAATATTATATGCATATTTTATGTATACAACAAATTTTGGATATCAAGCTTAAATAAAAATAATATATTTTTATAAGAAGTGACATTGAGAAGGTTATCAATTAAGACTATAATCTATGTTTAAAAGATTATAATGTATTTGAGTTAGGAGTAACATTGAAATGGCTATTTATTAAAATATAATAGTGACATGGTTAAATGAAAAGATGTATAAGTAGATCCATGTGTAAGTAACTATATCAAATCGGTTTATCGAAAGGAGTCTGGTGTAACCAATGACAAGTCAAGTTATAATGGGTCAAGAATATCCCTTTGACCCACATCGGTTTGGGTTGGATTCATTAATGGATCAAATGAATTTGGGTTGGGTTAGGTCCAATTCGACTAATTTTGATTCAATATTTGGTTGTGTTTACTATTTGGATCTTTTCAATCTAGTTTGGCTAAATTTGGGTTAGGCTGATCAAACTCATTTTTACTAAAAGAGTTAACATTATTGAGTTATTATATCGAGTAATTCATATGCCATTCTTTATATCATTTTGCTAACTTTTATTCATCTTCTCGTCATATAATTTTTGTATTAGCTTTATTTTTAAACCACATTATTATCAAAATATCTATAACTAACTATATACGTGATATAATACTTATAGTAACTAATGATAGATTCATATCCACATACAGTTAGGCTCTGTTCACTTCACCTCAAAAATGAATATTCAGTAAAAATGATTTTAGTTTAGTAGAAATAATTTCATTTCAGTAATTATAACTTTAGTTCGGTAAAAATAATCTCATTTCAGTAAAAATCAGTAATTTTAAAAAGTAATATAAAATATATTAAAATGAATAATTTCATTTCAGTAAATTTAATTTAAGCTCAGCATAAATAATTTTAATTCGATAAAAATAGTTTGAGTTCAGCAAAAATAAGGTGAAGTGAATAGGGCGTCACTCTAGCCGTGCAACCTTATGAAGTAAACTTGTTAGTAATTGGTAAATATAATTATATAAGAGCTTAAATAAAGTAAATAAAAGGACTTGATTTTGGGTCTTACGAGTCACAAGTTGAAATGGTTTGGGTTGAACGCGTTGCATGTTGTAAATAGTTTGGATTTAATGGTTATGTAACAAATTTAAAATGTTTTATTTGTTCAAATCATGCATCGCACGAGACTAATCTACTAATATTGTACACCTTATAAAAAATAAAATTTTTGATAAAATATAAAATACATTGTGTTTTTATTAAAATACTTACCAAATTATCATCTTGACAATTTTAGAAGACTTATATTTACCTATAAAATAAATGTAGTACTTATCTCCAAAAGATAATTCCAATAAAAAAAACACAAAAAAGTGAAAATAACTCATTATCTTTCATCTCCTAAACCACCAAAAATGGTGAAATTTTTTGGCTCCAATATTTTCCCACTAAAAGAATCAGTTATTATTAACCCCAGATTTCATTTCTTCATCTCACTAGTACATTCCCAATGTCAACCTTAGATGTCACGGCCATTAGCTATTACAATTTCTTTTCCACTCAATTTTTACCAAATTAATTTAATACTTCCTCCCGAGAACCCAATTCATCTTACAGTAATTCCCATAAATTGCTGGAGTCAAGCTTCCACATGCGGAAGTTATGGCGGAGCTTTCTCAACAACCAACAACTCCGGCCACCGCAAATCTCATTTCCGACGACGATTGCTCTGTTGACGGTGATTCTTGGTCTATTAAGATTTAAGAGCGAATATGAAGACGAGCTCTCGCTGCTGCTAATCTCCGCCCTTCCTCTAATTACAGGTTCTCTCTCTAATTCTCTGATTTTAATTTATTTTTATTAGTATTAGGTATTTCTTCGAAGAAATAATGTAATGGTACGGTTTTTTTCAAGTACCCCCTTTGGTTTTGTTCTTAGTTTATTGAAACTCCACTTTATTCGATCTGGACATCTTATTTTTTTCTCTTATTGAGGTAAATTTCAATAATTTCAATAATTATTTTGTGGGGTTACTCCCAATTTTGTGATTATGTAAATTGAACATTCTTATTTGTTATATTCTCTTTGGCTATATCTTATATGGAAAGAATAGATGTTTTGTGGATGAAATTTGATGTGTGAGATTCAAATTCAGAGATTTTTTATGATTAATCTTGACATAGTTGATTTATGCTGTCATTATTCTCGGCATAACTTACATTTCTATTATATAGTACTTTATTAAACTTCTTAGTCTACATGTGTTTGTGGAAGGCAACCATATGATCTAGCTTTCTAGAGCAGATATTGCACATTGATATACAATCTTACTTTTTAGCACTTGATTCTTAGAGAAAAACTCTTTTTAGCTAAACTTTAGATCAATAAATAGAGATAGGAAGGTGGTGATCCCCACACCAAATTCATGTGATATGAAATATAGCCTAATAATTATTTTCACTCTAAAAAACTACTATTAACGTTGAATATATATCTAGATTTATTCTAGATCATGATGACACTATGATTATCACAGAGTTGATATAGGCTACTCCTTTTATATCTATTTTGATTTCTCATGCTTATTCTTGTTTCATATATATCAAGATTACATGTAAGTGGATATAAACGAACTTAGTTGCATATAGATTCCTGGATAATCATCCACTATCAATTTAAGGTTCCATGCTTGTGTTTAAACATCATTTTGGCCAATATCAAGAATTTGCAGAGCCTTTTTAATTTATGTTCAATTAAATATTGGCTAATTTGCATGTGTTTAACTCCTTTGTGGTCTTATATTTATCCTCTATGTACAGGATTTGCCTGCAATGATTGTAGTTGCAGAATAAATATTGGCTGATTTGTAAGAAGCTATGCATTATTCATCAATCTTTTGCAAGAAGTCCAAAAGGCAATGTATACAATGTTGCTAAAGAATCTCAAATCTACCTCAGGTTTGTAAACATGATTTCTGACTTCCAATTTGGTTCTTCTGCTGAAATTATTTGACCAAATATTAAAAACTATAGTTGAATTTTCTTAGAACCCAAATTTCTTTTACTAGTTAATTGTTTTGGACTGCTTTCTAAATACTGTTTGTTATCCTTTTGGAGCTTCTTCATCATAAGCGCTAAGATAGTGTTCATCATTGCACGATAATTTTTAACTTTATGTTTGGAGTATAGAAATCTACCACCCAAGATTCGAGATTTAGAGGGATGGGTGGAAAAAGGTGGGGGAGGCGGTTCCCTTCTGTAATGAGTGATATATATTGAATGTTCTCACAACTGATTGCATTTGTTGAATGAAATCTATGAAATAAGCATTTGGCATGAATACATGAAGTCGTAAATGACTTAAACTTCAGAACATGTATTGCTCATTGTTACTTTGTAGGATGTCATATTTAGTTACGGTTCTTGAACATTCTCTCATCAATATAATGTGTCCCATTCTATAGTTTTACAAAGACGAGGAGCTTTAGGAACTATGTACATATGTCATACTACATGAGCTCCATTAATTAATTAACCTACAGTGACAGGGCAAATTATCCAAGTCCTGCTTGAGAGAATGAATGGAGCATAACTAAGTCCCATCCTAAAGGGTTGAAAAGGCTCTAAACATTACTTACAATTCTAATTTTGCACATATAATTCAACCATTGAACAATTTTTTTTAAGGATTAATGTTAGGATCAATTAAAAGTGGCTCGGGATTTGGGAATGAGATTTGCAAAATTGGTAGAATTACCCCTGCACTTTTGTCTTGCCCAAGGCACCACCCATAATTTATGTTGCCTGCACTACTCCACTCGACAACAATTGGTGCCTGCTGCTATTTTACTATTGTTGTTGTAGCTGCCCACTACAACTCCTCTGCAATGCTTACGTTGCTTATAGCCTTTCAAATACTGAATGTAACAACTTAAATATTTTCTTTCTTTGTGAGGATTCATGGGTGTGCAATAATGGTTGTTTTTACTGCAATCCTGTCCAATTTTAGCATAGAGTAAAATTGCATCTTATCGATTAGGGAAATTACTTTGCCTTAAAGACAACCTTTTACACTTGTTTATTTATTATGTCATTTTTGTGTAGCAGAAAGAAAAAAAGGCTGTCATATGAACTTTAGATGCTGCAAAGTTAGACTCAATTACCAAGCAACTGGACTTTTTTAGGTTGCCACTGCATTAGTGAGTTCAGTTATCTATTTAGCTAACCTATTGTGTTATTTATAATAATCATTATGAATATAGTTGGCCTAAGTTTTCTAATGCTCTATAAGACACTAAGAAAACGAGATTTGGGTTGCTACCAAACAGCAGCAACTCGCTGCACCTCACCCACTTCTTTAATCACTGCCCATGAGGACTCCGCACATTGACTTCCTTCACACTGAGTCCTAGCCCCTCCATATCACCCGGAAACAGCATTTCACTACATTGGCTTCAACGGACAAACTAATGTAAGGTTGCCAAAAAATGTTGAATTTTGGAATTGCGTTTACATCATTAGTCTATGAGCTATTACACATTTAATTGTCGCTTTCTACATCTGTAGCTAGCTGATTAAAAATTATTGCCATTGTCACTTGATTACATGTGTTTATTGATGGAAAAAATCACTATATAACATTCAGTTACATGCTGCTTGTTTTTTTTTTTTTTATTTCCGTTGCTATATCCTTAAGGGTATTGATTAGTTCATTTACCCCTATTCTTATCCAGGGTTGTTCTTCCTACCTCCTACTTGGGCTGTATGGGTTGTTTTAATCGTGGCAGTGCTGTAGTGAACAAGCATAACTTCAAGTTTACTAAAGATTGGTAAATCGACAATGAATTCAAACTTTGGTCTTAAGTTGAAGGTGTTGCTGCTACTGCTCTTGGTATTGCTGCTACTGTTCTTAGTGTCTGGATGATGCTGATGTTGCTTGTGTTCTCTCTACAAAGGAAACAAAGTTCCTTAATTTTCCAATGCTTTGCCTTGTGTGCACAAGTTCTTTCTGTTGGTCGTTGATTTGCTAGTGCCTATCGTTGGTGTTGCTGCTTGTTGTTTCTTATGCTATATCGTCTCATGGTGTAACTCTCAGCAAGAGTCAGTGTCCAAAGGCACCTGATGAGTGAGAAAGAATGAGTCAGATCCCACATGCTTCGCTAATAGGATCGATCATGTACGCCATGATATGTACAAGGCCAGATGTATCGTATGCATTGAGTGCTACGAGCCGATACCAATCAGACTTGGGAGAGGCGTATTGGAATGCGGCCAAGAATATCCTAAAATAACTGAAAAGGAACAAGGATAAAAACCTGGTCTATGGTGGGAGTATGGATTTGATTGTTGAAGGTTATACCGATGCAAGCTTCTAGAATGACAGAGACAACTTCAAATCGCAATCTAGATACATATTCTGTCTAAATGGCGGAGCGTTTAGTTGGAAGAGTGCTAAGCAAAGCACGGTTGTATATTCTACAACTGAAGCCGAGTACTTAGCAGCCTTAGAAGCAGCTAAGGAGGCAATTTGGATTCAAAATTTTATTGGTCAACTTGGTGTTGTGCCTTCAATCAAGAGACCGATTAACCTGTTTATGGCAATAATGGGGCTATTGCTCAGGCCAAGGAACCGAGGCAACACCAAAAGGTCAAACATGTCGAGCAGCGAGTTCACCTCATAAGGGAATAGATTTCCGAAGGTGAAGTCAAGGTTTGTAAAGTTGGAATGGACGATAACATAGCCAATCCACTTACTAAACCTTTGCCTCAAGTGAAACACAACAAGCACATTGAGGCAATGGGAATTAGGCACATTGGAGACTGGCTCAAAGTTCCTATTTTATGTGTTTTAATTAAGTTTTGGACATCTTGATGTAAAACACTAAGTTAACCATTCATATATGGAGTAATTTTATTTTATACAAAAATTATTATTCCATATCTATTTAATTATTGTGGTTTAGAATTAAATAATGAGTCCATTCGATTTGATGACATTCAAAATAGGTTATCAAGAAAATGTCTTGGATAAATTAAGAAACACCTATTAAGTGAACATTGAATGTCATATCAAAACTATCTCTGATCAAGGTCATTTAAAAGTTGGACGACTAATGACCGAGCGAGATTAGTGTGTAGTATGATTTATAGCACTGTTTCTTGTGCTACAAGGACAAGAATGCCATAAATCATTTGCACAGGTATTAGTTGGAACTATATCGGATCGACCTATGAGAATACTTTAAGAGATTTGAAATCGTCATAAGTATCTTTCTCATTGTTGCTATCAGTACCTCTTTCCTCAACCATGAGTACTGTAAGTTCTCTTATTTGAGCACTAGTCTGTTTTGATGTTGTCAAACGTCTGCCGTAAAAGGGGATTATAAAGGCGACACTTGGGCAACTATCTCTTAGTAAGAGAAACTTATCAATGCAAGAATGGGAATGTCCTCCTATTAACAATAGGAAACATGTCTTTGTTGTTTACAAGGCCTCTCGAAGAGCTTGAGTGTGAAAATGCATAGCCGTGCTCAGATGGATTTTAGAAATCATCTGTACTTGACAGTCGAACTCAGAATTTCGAGAAACACTTCTGAACGTAATAAGGATGATGATAAATCTTACCTTATAGTTCACGAAGAGACGTTAAGTGACATAGGAAAAGGGCAATACACACATTGCACACTTGTCCAGAAGGACAAGTGGGAGATTGAAAGGAATGGTGTCCTTCGAATAAGTGTATTATTTCTATAGAGGGTTCAGAATCAATTACGGAGTTAATTATTCAGTGAAGTCAAGTGATCAAAAAGTCGCATCTCCGATTAGTGAGATTAATTATATTAATCTCACAGCTTTCCTTTTAATTGAACCCAATGGATCACACCCAAGCGTGCAACCGAACTAAGGCAACAAATTAAGCCAAAGGTCTTAATACGTCAAACAAGAGGATACGTGCTCCGACTTCGGATTCCGAGCTTAGAGCGTCGAAGCCGAATGTCAACTTAAATTCTAGGAATTAAGGAGACGTACGAATAAGTCAAAAAACAATAAATAAGTCAAAGTGCGTAGCCCTAGCCTCGCATTGGCTACCATGCGAAGGCTAGGCTAGCATAGACTACCGCAAGGTAAGCACTGGCCGCAAGCCTAGCTTGATGCGCGCACGCACTAGTTAGGGCTGCTAGCCAAGTGCATGCCGCAAGCTCAGAAAGCGCTTGCGCGGGCTGGCTTGGGGTGTTGGCCGAGTGTGGGCTACGGTAGCAAGCTAGCAGCGCTAGCAAGGCCAATAGCTAGCAAAATTTCTAAGCCACGCTAGCTGCTGTTAGTGCTAGCACGCAAGGCCTGCTAGCCTGCGCACAGCAGCCCGCAAGTGTGCGAGGCTTGCTGGCAAGGCGAGCAGCAGCGTGGGCCTTGCTAGCTGGCTCAACCGAGAGCACAAGGCTGCCAGCGAGGCAGGCCTTGTTACCCAAGGCAGCCGCAAGCTAGGTCACACCTTATTGGCGGGTTTGGTGGCTTGGGGAGCAAGGAGGCAAGTGGTCCTCCCTTGTAGTCCTCACCTAACCCTCCCATGTGATTGCCACTTGTTATTTGATTATTTGTTTTGTGCATTTTAATTTACTTAAGAATTAAATTAAATGCAATTATTTCTCAACTTTGCAAAAGTCCCACATTGATGAAATATTAAGGGGATGGAGATGCTTCTCCTATAAATACCCAAGGCTTACCTTGGGAATAAATTGTAAGAGTTGAACCCTATAAAAGGCATCTCCATTGAGAAAACCTTAAAAAGAGATCCTCTTGTTAGTAGTGTTAATATTACCCGGTAATATTGACCAAAGTTTGGGCGCGACGGTGGATGTCGTTGCATTACTAGAAAACAACCAATCAACGACGGAAAAAATCCGTCGAAAAACCCTGAAATTCCGTCGGAAATGCCGATTTTCGACGGAATTCTGTCGGAAAGCACCGTCGCATTACACTTTGTAGGAATTTTAGCGATATTCCGAGGGAAATTCCGTCGGAAAGGTCCATTCCGACGGAATTTCCGACGGATTTTATTCTGTCAGAGTCAAGTTTGACTTAATTGGGAAGTCCGTCGCAAGTTTCCGACAGAAAATTCCGTCGCAACAAGCCAAGCTTCCGACGGAATTTTCCGTCTAAATATACCTCTTCCGACGGAAAATTCCGTCGGAATATACTACCTTCTGACGGACATTTACGTCGGAAAATTTAATAGAAAAAAATAAAAAATAAAAAAAAACCCCACCCACCACCCCCACCACCAACCTACCCCCTGCCCCCCTACCCACCCAAACCCTAGACCCACCCTTAACCCAAACCCTTAACACCACCGACACCACCACATTCCCACCCCAATACCAAACCAAACCAACACCACCACAACCCCATCCCAACACCACCGACACCACCACAACAGCCCACCCACACCAAACCAAACCGACACCACCACAACCCCACCCCATAACCACCGACACCACCACAACAGCCCACCCACACCAAACCAAACCGACACCACCACAACCCCACCCCATAACCACCGACACCACCACAACAGCCCACCCACACCAAACCAAACCGACACCACCACAACCCCACCCTATAACCACTGACACCACCACAACAGCCCACCCACACCAAACCAAACCGACACCACCACAACGCCACCCCATAACCACCGACACCACCACAACAGCCCACCCACACCAAACCAAACCGACACCACCACAACAACCCACCCCACCACCACCGACACCACCACACCATCACCATTAACCCCAAAAAACCGGAAATAACCCCAAAAAAACCCCAAAAAATTCAAAAAACCAAACTTAAACAAGGAAAATTAATAGAAATATATAAATATAGAATTGTCTAATAAATTTTATAAATTAACATTACAATTACATATACAATTAACTAGATCTATGTTTCAAAAAAAAAAACTAGATCTAAACACAAACCTAATTACAAGATTTACAATTGATGTTTAGGTTGTTGTTGATGAAACCGAGTCCAGCTCAACGATTCCAAGCCTCGTTTCGACGTCGAACCTCAATCGTCCCCTGAAAAGTCGTTGGGATCGGAAATCTGGAGCCGTTTATGGGTGTTAAAGCTTCGGTGAGTGAGGGGTTGCGTATGGGTTGTGGTGAAAGAGGAGGAGAGGAGGAGAGGAGAGAGAAAGAGGAGGAGGAGAGGAGGAGAGGAGGAGAGGAGAGATAAGAGAAATGAATAGGAGGAGATGGAAAAGGGGCGGGGAGAAAGAAAGAGAAATGAAAAGGGAAGGGGGTAGGGGGTCCGGATTTCATTTAGGGTTTTATTTTTGATTTTTTTTTTTAATAAATTTCCGACGGAATTAAAATCCGTTGGAATTTTTCCTACGGATTTAAAACCGTAGGAAATTAATATGTTCCGACGGATTTTTTTCCCTCGGAATTTAAAGCTTCCGACGGAATTTTCCATCGGGAGAAATTTTCCGAGGGAATATTCCGTCAGAAGCAGTAAATTCCGAGGGATTAAAAATCCGTCGGAATATTTCCGAGGGATTGTCCGTCACAACTTATATTTTCTAACGGATTTTTTGACAGACCAAAATTCCGTCGGAATATTCGAATTTTCCAACGGAATTTAAGTCCGTCGGAACAAATCCGTCGGAAAACGGCCTATTTCTAGTAGTGTTGGAGGATTTGTATTTGAGGCTCTAGCTCCGTTTGTGGGTTCGTATTCGTGCTAGGTGGAAAACACGCTTCAAGGGTATGAACGTCTTTTCCCTCCTCTCTCTCTATTATGTGTTTATTGTTTTATTAATTATATGCATGTTTTAGTTTAGTCGCTTTAATTTATGCATGTGGTCCTTGAGCGGGTTTTGGTTCCGCGCAATGTTCGCTCACCATAAAAAACCCAACATCATGGTGGTTTGAGAGCTTGTAATCATCATCATCATCAAGATACTTCATAGTGGATTGGTGGGTTTTCTCCCGGCACTCGGGTTCCCGCGTTAAACTCTTTCTTATTTCGTTGTTTGCTTGCATTTCATTCTTTGTTATTGTTATTCATTGGGCATTTTGGCTTTTGACCATTAGTGTGGAGCTTGAAATATTTTTTTTATCTAATTTTTTCCCATGGGATAAAATCTCCCGAATGCTGGTAATAATGCTCTTAGACTCTTAATCCTTAAGTGTAACCTAGATTCATTATACGAGTAATATTAATTAAAACCTACTTTTTTTAAAAGTATGACTAAACACTTATGAATAGTGGTGAGACAATTATGCCTCTTAAAATGTTTATTTACATATTTACCCTTATTTTATATTTGTTACATCAATGAATAGTGTTGAGACAATTATGTCCCTTAAAATATTTATTTACATATTTACTATTAATTAAATATATATGTTCAATTTTTATGAATATTGTTGAGACAATTATGTCCTTAAAATATTTATTTACATATATACTTGTAGGGAATTTTTCACTGCCCTACTATGGGTCATGTTTTTAAGCATGGTGGCGCTCCAAGGAAAAGAAGCTAGAGAAAAAGAGTCACCAACAAGTTTTAGGAACTTGTAAACTGTTCACGATTGTGAAGGTTACACCCCATTCACAATCACAGAAATTGCTAACTCCATTGTGGTCCGCAACCATAACTGGATGTTCAGGGGTGATGGTACGAATTTGACCTAAGAGAAGCCGAACTCGCCCTAAATAGGCCTCTAATTGATTCTTATTGATATTCATGCGCGCTTTTCGATCAACATACATACATTAAATTAACTCTAAACCAGTTTAATCTACGTTGGTTGATTATTAATGCAAAATCAAATCTAATATTGGTGATCGCTTGAATTAAAATCATATTAAACCTAAATCAAATTATTAGTTATCTTATTAGGCGTGATTTCAAGTACAAATTCCCTTTAAACCTGCAAAAAGGGGTGTGATCAAGCAATAACAATAATCATGAATAATCAAGCAATATATGATTATTATAACAATCATTGATTAGGGGATTTTTCCCCACCAATCACCATCTGACAAGTGGACCAATCAGGTTCCGCCATGTG